TCTGATCTTTACTATTTCCTTCCTTCTACTTGCTCTGGGGTTTTCTTTTTGTTTGCTCTCTAGTCCTTTAAGTTGTGAGATTAGACAGTCTATTAGAAATTTTTCTTGCTTCTTGAGGTAGGCCTGTAATGCTATGAACTTCCCTCTCAGAACTGCTTTCCCTGCATCCCATAGATTTTGTGTTGTTGCGTGTTCATTTTCATTGGTTTCCAGGAAGTTTTTAATTTCTTCCTTGATCTCCCCAGTAACCCATTCATTGTTTAATAACATGCTATTTAGCCTCCATCTGTTCAATTGTCTTTGCATGTTTTTGTTGCAATTCTGTTCTAGTTTCATGCTATTGTGATCTGAGAAGATGCTTGATATGATTTCAGTCTTCTTGAACTTGTAGAGATTTAGTTTGTGTCCCATTATGTGGTCTATCTTTGAGAATGTCCCATGTGCACTTGAGAAGAATGTGAATTCTGTAGTTTTGGGTTGTAATTCTCTGTAGATATCTATTAAATCTATTTGGTCTAGTGCTTCATTTAGTGTCTCTGTTTCCTTGCTAACTTTTTGTCTAGAGGATCTATCCAGTGGTGTGAGCGGGGTGTTGAAGTCCCCTGCTGTGATTGTATTGCTGTCGATTTCTCCTTTGAAGTCCTCCAGAAGATTTTTAATACATTTTGGTGCTCCTATATTGGGTGCATATATGTTTACCAAGGTTATATCTTCCTGTTGGATAGATCCTTTCAATATTATGTAGTGGCCTTCTTTGTCTCATGTTATGGCCTTCATTTTGAAATCTATTTTATCAGATATGAGTTGCTACCCCAGCTTTTTTTTTGCTTTCCATTTGCATGGAAGATTTTTTCCATCCCTTCACTTTCAACTTATGTGAGCCTTTTGTTGTGAGGTGGGTCTCTTTGAAACAACATATAGATGAGTGTTGCTTTCTTATCTTATCGGCTACTCTGTGTCTTTTTATGGGAGCATTCAATCTATTTACATTTAAGGTGAGTATTGATATGTACTCATTTATTGCCATTTTTGTTTACTGTGGTTCTATTTTTCTTCCCATTTATCATGCTAATTACAGCAGTCTTTTTTAACATTTCTTGCAGTCCTGGTTTGGTGCTAATGTATTTCCTTAGCCTTTTTTTTTGTCTGGGAAGCTCTGTATTTGACCTTCTATTTTGAATGATAGCCTTGCTGGGTAGAGTAGTCTTGTATTCAGATTCTTATTTTTAATTACCTTGATTACTTCATGCCATTCCCTTCTGGCCTGTAGTGTTTCTTGTGAGAAGTCAGCTGAGAGCCTTATGGGATTTCCTTTGTAGGTAACCTGTTGCTTATCTCTTGCTGCTTTTAGGATTCTCTCTTTGTCTTTAATTTTTGGCAGTTTGATTACTATGTGTCTTGGTGTGGGCCTGTGTGGGTTCTTCTTCCTTGGGGCTCTCTGTGCTTCTTGAACTTGAATGCCTTCTTCCTTCACCAAATTAGGAAAGTTTTCTGTCACTATTTCTTTGAATATATTCTCTATCCCTTGCTCATTTTCTTCTTCTTTGGGGACTCCTATGATGCGACTGTTATTCCGTTTCCAGTTGTCCCTCCGTTCTCTTAAGCTGTCTTCCTCTTTTTTAATCGTTTTTTTCCTTTTGGTATTCTGATTGGTTGATTTTTTTCTACCCTGTCTTCTAATTCACTGACCCAGTCCTCATCTTCCTCTACTCTGCTTTTTAGACCTTCCTATGTGTTTTTCCTTTCTGATATGTCATTTTTTATCTCTTCTTGGTGGTTTTTAATTTCTAATTGGCTTTTTTCAGCATCTCTATGTCCTTACACATGCTGTTGAGCTTCCTCATGATCATGGTTCTGAATACTAGTTCTGTTAACTTGATTAACTGCACCTCATTTATCTCATCTTCTGTAGAGGTCTCTTGTTCTTTCATTTGGCTTTTGTTTCTGTTTTCACCATTTTGGCTATCACAGTGGTCTTTGGATTCTGCCAAATTTTCCCTGTGGGTATTGGTGTTCTGCTGTTTGTGGCTCCCTCTCCTGGGTTTGAATGAGGCAGGGAGGACCCGCTTTAAACACCACTGTCAATTCTTAACGTTCCTGGTTAGAGTTGCTAGTCCAGGGAATGGTATTTATCCTTAACTTTTTTGCCTGGAGGCTATTAGTAGAGGTCACCTGAAGGACCTTGGTTTCTGAGTTGACTGAAAAACTCCCTCAGGTGCTCAGTGTAAGAGGATTTCCAGAGGGTGGGGCAGATGCTGGTTGTTAATGGGCCTCAATCAGCATTTCAATGGCCACCAGGTGGGGTTGAATCTCTGAGGGTGGGGCCGCCGCCTTTCCCCAGGGCCCTGGGAAGGAGTAAGATGACCACCGTCCTGTGTGGTTGCACTCAGCAAAAGCTCTGAGCACCCTCCAAATCCTGAGTGTCCCCACACAATTCTAGTCCAGTCTGCCTTCCCTCTGCTGGAGTGCAAGGTGAGTGGCTGCTGCCAATTTTGCCTCTGTCCGGGCTCTGCATCATGGAGCCGCCTGGAACTTTAACCTAAGGGCGCTGTTCCCAGCTAAGGGCAGCCGAGGCTGTGGCACCAGCTGAGGGCATAGTACCTAGCCGAGGCGGCCACAGCTTTCAGCCGAGGCCGCCGGACCCAGCTGAGGTGGCAGCAGCTTCCATCCAAGGTTGCAGGACCCAGCGGAGGCAGCCACTGGTCTCAGCCGAGGCCACAGGATCCAGCTGAGGGCACAGCTTCCAGCCGAGGATGCTGGCCCCAGCCGAGGTCACCGGACCCAGCCAAGGCGACAGCAGCTTCTAGCCGAGGTCGCAGGACCCAGCTGAGGCGGCCACTGGTCCCAGCCAAGGCCACAGGACCCAGCCGAGTCCCCTGGTCCCAGCCAAGTTTGCTGGTCCCAGCCCAGGCCGCTGCAGACCATGGGCTCCCGGCCCCCTCTCGTGTCCTTGCAAGCCTACCAGGATTGAGTCAGTGTCCCTGGTTATGTGGTCCTTCAAGCTGCCTTTCGGTTGCCCCTTCCTGAAGATTTGTCTTTATTTTCGTTGTAATTCCACTTTGGTCCTGGGAGATGGTCTGTGTAGCTTCTATTCACTCCGCCATTTTTTTCCTCTGATATGTCATTCTTGATATCTTCTTGATGGTTTTAAATTTCCAATTGGTTGATTTTCAACATTTCTATGTCCTTACTCATGCTGCTGAGCTCCCTTAAGATCATGGCTCTGAATTCTAGCTCTATTAACTTGCTTAACTGCATTTCATTTATCTCTTCATTAGAGGTCTCTTGTTCTTTCATTTGGGATTTGTTTCTTTGTTTTACCATTTTGGCTATCTCAGTGGGCTTTGGATCCTGACAAATTTTCCCTGTGGGTGTTGGTGTTCTGCTGTTAGTGGCTTCCTCTACTGGGTTTGGATGAATCTGGATCAGCCCACGTTGAACACCACTCTCAAGTCTTACTTTCCTGGGCAGAGTTGCAAGCCCAGGACTGGTTCAGTTATCCTCTAGCTTTTTGCCTGGAGGCTATTAGTCATGGTTACTTGAAGAGCCTTGGGTTTTCTTTTTTTTTTTTAATCCTCACCCGAGGATATTTTTCCATTTTTTTGTACAGATAGAGTGGGAGGGAGAGAGAGGAAGGGAGAAAGAGAGAGAAACATCAACGTGATAGGGACACATCGAGTGGCTGCCACCCGCGCGACCAACCAGGGCCGGGGACAAACTGCAACTGAAGTACGTGCCCTTAGCGGGAACCGAACCTGGGTCTCTCCGGACTGCAGGCCGACGCTCTAACTGCTGAGCCAAATTGGCCAGGGCAAGCCTTGGGTTTTCTGTTGAATGAAAAACTGCCTCAGGTGTTCGACATAAGGGGATTTGCCAAGGGTGGGGCAGATGCTGGTATTTAATGAGCCTCCATTTTCATTTCAATGCCCACCTGAGTGGGGTTGAATCTCCGAGTGAGGGGCCATAGCCTCTTCCCAGAGCCCTGGGAAGGAGTAAGATGACCACCATCCTGCATGGTCGCAACTCAGCAAAAGTTCTGAGTGTCCTCCATATCTCGAGTGTCCCCACACAGTTCCAATCCAGTCTGCCCTCCCTCTGCCAGAGTCCAAGGTGAGTGGCTGTGGCTATTTAAGCACTCTTTCCCAGCTGTGAAGCAGGCTTGGGAGTTTAACCCCAAGGGCACTACTCACAGGGAATACTGCTGCTGTCCATGGGCTCACGCCTCTGCATTCCTACCAGGATTGATTCATTGTCCCTGGTTAGATGGTCCTTGCAAGCTGCTTTTCTGTTGTTGTTTTTTTCTTTTCTGACGATTTGTCTTTATTTTAGTTGTGATTCCAGTTTGATCCTGGGAGATGGTCTGTGTAGCTTCCATTCACTCTGCCACCATTTTGGAATCTCTCCAAATAAATTTTTAAAACATTTAAAAATTTTTCTGTTTGCTAAACCTGAAGCTATCTTAGTTACTTTTAATACCATTTACTTTCCTTATTTATTTTTGTCTGAAGTGCCAGCCTTAGTGATTTTAAATTTGCTATTACTGATTCATTCTCTCTCATTAAAACTTAGAAGGACACAGCCACATTCATAATTATTCCATTTTCTATCCAGAGGAGCATGCATCATAAAATAAATATAATAGTCTCTGACCAAGAGATTCATTGTCTTATCTTTTAGTGGAAAATTATGTTTTCTTTTTTTGTATATATTGAAAATCCTGAATTAATTTCAAAATATTTAAAAAATTTCTCACACATGTAGTACATACTGTTTATCTAATAACATATAATGTAGGAGAAAATGAATTAATCTTTGGATTAAGCTTGGAGTAATATGTTATATATATTTTGTGAATGTTTACTTTTTTAATATGTCTAATATTTTTAGACCACATAAGTAATGTTCTAGTACAACTTTATGTAATATGTTGTGGAAAATGTAACACATGAAGTTCTTATCAAGCTTTTCATTTATTATTCTTTGTGTATGTGTGTGTCTAGTTTATTCATCCCTACCTGTATTGGTGGATACAAAGGCTGTGTTATATTGCCCTACTGTCCCGTTGACAGATGTGATTGTAACATTATGGAAAATAATCCTCAGAAACAAGCCTCACTGCATCAGAGCCCACAAGAGAGCTACACACATGACCACAAAAACAAACTGTACTGATGAGAGAATGACCTGGCCCTACGGACCTGACCAGAATTCTGTCCTTCAGATTGATCCGGTGGTCATCACTCATGATGGGTATTATGAGTGTCAAGTGGTAACACCTGATGGCAATTTCCATTATGGATATCACCTCCAAGTGTTAGGTAAGGACCATTATACACTGTGGTTTCCAGATAATCAGTTTGAGACTATCAGGAACGTCTCTTTAAACTCCATGTCTAATGTGTATGACTAAAGCATTTCCTCTACATCTCTGCAGTGGTCCCTGAGATGACCCTGTTTGAAAACAAGACTAGGACTGCGGTGTGTAAAGCAATTGCAGGGAGGCCAGCTGCCCGGATCTCCTGGACCCCAGAGGGAGACTGTGTCCCTGAGCACAACTCCTGGGACAACGGCACAGTGACTGTCCAGAGTACATGCCACTGGGCAGAGAGCAATGTGTCTGTTGTGTCCTGCTCTATCTCCCATGAGACTGGCAACTGGAGTCAGTCCATAGACCTGAATCAAGGTGAGCACCTGTTTCTTTTCCAGTAGTAAACTTGATACTCAACCTTTTCTTTCATAGAAGATTATGAATTAACCAATCCCAGGTCAGGAAAGCTTGAACTTCTAATTTGTAGATATTTTCTAAAACTTAACTAGGAAATGCACTAGTATGCTAGAAAAATTGTTTGGCTTTTATCAAATAGAAGGAATTAATTTTATAATCTTTCACCAGTACATTCTCTAAATATCTTTTACTGTGGTAGCTGTAAAAATATTGTTTGATAACTTAGTGATCTATAGGCTTTTACGCTTAGATCATTTCTTGTAGTGGTGACCACTTTGTTACCTCAAGTAAGAGACATGTTTTTCTTCTTCCTCTTTTGTCATCTCAAACCAGTTCATTGATTCAGTCACCAATTATATGTTGAAAGTTATTTATGTGTTAAAAACTGATAATATAAAAATGAGAAAAACAAGGTTCATGTCTTCATATTGTTTCATGGCATGTAATCTGGTAGTTAGGTACAAATTCTTTGGCATGACATGGCTTTTCATTTATCAGCCGTGTGACCTTGAACAACATTTACTTTTCTGTCTTATAATCTCTTCATCTCTTAAAGGAGGATGATGATACTGCCTCATAGAGTTCTGTGTGAATTAAATATAATAATATAACATTATATTAAACACATACATGTGTTTAATATAATGTCCAACATATAGTTGATACTCAATAAATATTGGATACTATTATTATATTAACAAATATTAGTTGTTAATGTTAATAAATGTTTGCTCTAATATTTATACTAATATGCATTAGTTATTATACTTGCTATTAAAATTATCATTAAAAAATCATTATAGCTGGAAGCAGAACTTTGTTCTGGGAACAGCCATTCTGATCGAAGACAGGAGCTAATCAGGGCTGCATTAGAAGTTAAAATTGGGCAAAAATATGAGACCGATTTAGACAGGTGCTCTTTTTAAAAATTTTTTTCTTTATTGATTTTTAGAGAGAGAGAGATAGAAACATCGATGAGAGAGAACATCGATTGGTTGCCTCCTGCATGCTCCCCACTAGGAATCAGGCCTACAACCTGGGCATGTGTCCTGACCAGGAATCGAATTGGTGACCTCTTAGTGCATGGGTCGACGCTCAATCACTGAACCACACCGGCCGGACCGGGTGTTCTTTTCTAAAAATTATTTTTTTCTTTTCTTTCTTTCTTTTTGAAATTAAATTTATTAGGGTGACATTGATGAATAAGATCATATAAATTTCAAGTGTACATTTCTATGATATATAATCTGTATTTTGACCCAAAGTCAAATCATCTTCTGTCACCATATACTTGTCCCCATTTACCCTTTACTACTTCCCCTTATTTTTGGTAACTGCCATACTGTTGTCTGTTTATGAGTTTCAGTTTTATATCCCACATATGAGTGAAATCATATGGTTCTTAGCTTTTTTCACTCACTTCTTTTGCTTAGCATAGTGTTCTCAAGATCCATCTATGTTGCAAATGGCAGTATTTCATTTTTTCTTATGGCTGAGTAGTATTCCATAATATATATGTCCCCCATCTTCCTTATCCAATCCCCTATCAAAGGATATGTTGTTTGTCTCCATGTCTTGGTCACTGTGAATAACACTGCAATGAACACAGAAGTGCATATATCTTTGCAAATAAATGTTTTTGAGTTTTTTGGGTAGATACTCAGAGGAAGGATTGCTGGGTCATATGATAACTCTATTCTTAATTTTTTGAAAAACCTCCCTGCTGTTTTGCACAGTGGCTGTACCAGTTTACATTTCCACTAGCAGTGACTGAGGGTTCCTTTTTCTCTACAATCTCTCCAGCACTTGTTACTACCTGTCTTGTTGATAATAGCCACTGTAACAGGTGTGAGGTGGTATCTCATTGTCGTTTTGATTTGTATTTCCCTAATAGCTAGTGAGATTGAATATCTTTTCATATATCTGATAGCCATTTATATGTCTTCTGGAAGAGGTGTCTGTTCACGACTTCTCTTCCAGTTTTTAATTGGATTGTTTGTTTGGTGCTGAGTGGTATGAACTTTTTATGTATTTTGGATATTAACTCCTGTTGGAGCTGTTCTTTGCAAATATTATCTCCCATTTGGTTGGTTGCCTTTTTGTTTTGTTGTCAGTTTCTTTAGCTGTGCAGAAACTTTTGAGTTTGATATAGTCCCATTTATTTATTTTTGCCTTTACTTCCTTTGCCTTGGGAGTCAAATTCATAAAATGTTCTCTAAGACCAAGGTCCATAAGTTTAGTACCTATGTTTTCTTCTATGTAATTTATTGTAACAGATCTTATATTTAGGTCTTTGATCCATTTTGAGTTAATATTTTTAGTTAATAATAATTACATGTGGGCAAACTGTAATCTAGTTTCATTCTTTTGCATGTGGCTTTCTAATTTCCCAGCACCATTTATAGAAGAGGCTTTCTTTTCTCCATTGTGTACTTCTGGCTCCTTTGTAAAAAATTTATTTGCCCATATACATGCAGTTTTATTTTTGGGCTCTCAATTCTGTTCTATTGGTCTGTGTGTCTGTTTTTCTGTCCATACCATGCTGCTTTGATTATCAAAGCTCTGTAGAATAATTTGAAGTCAGGTAGTGTGATACCTCTGGCTTTGTTCTTTTTTTCTTGGGATTGCTTTGGCTATTCATGGTCTTTATTGTGTTTTTTTTTCCTACAAATCTGACTTTTTTTGGTTCTATTTCTTTAAAAAATGACATTGGGATTTTGATAGGGATTGCATTAAATCTGTATATTGTTTTACATAACATGGCCATTTTAACTATATTGATTCTTCTAACTCATGAACATGGTATATCTTTCCATTTTATTTTGTTATTGTCAATCTTTTAAAATAATGCTTTATAGTTTTCAGTATATAGGTCCTTCACATTCTTTGTTAAGTTTATTCCTAGGTATTTTATTATTTTTTATTACAAATGCAAAATAAATTGTTTTTTTTCCACTGCTTTTCCTGCATTTTCATTGGTAGTCTAAGGGAAAATAGATTTTTGTACATTGATTTTGTATCCTACAAACTTAATAGTTTTTTGGTACAATCTTTGGGGTTTTTTATATATAGAATCATGTCATCTGCAAAAAGTGACACTTTTATTTCTTCATTCCCAATTTGGATGCTGTTTGTTTATTTCTTTTGCCTGATTGCTTTGGATAGGACTTCCAGAACTATGTTGAAGTAGAGTGGTGAGGCTCTGGCCTGGTGGCTCTGTGGGTTGGAGCATCATCCCATACACCAAAAGATTGCAGGTTCAATACCTGGTCAGGACACACATGGGAGGCAACTGATGAATGTTTCTCTCTCTCTCTCTCTCTCTCTCTCTCTCTCTCTCTCTCTCTCTCTCTCTCTCTCCCTTTCCCTAAAAAGAAAAACAACAACAACAACAACAAAACATATCTTTAGGTGGGGATTAAAAAAAAAAAAAGAGTAGTGAGATTGGGCAGCCTTGTCTTGTTCCTGATTTTAGAGGAAAAGCTTTCAGTTTTTCACCACTGAGTATGATATTGGCTGAGGGTTTGTCATATATGGCCTTTATTATGTTGAGATACTTTCCTTCTATACCCATTTTACCGAGTGTTTTAATCATAAATGGATGTTGTATCTTATCAAATGTTTTTTTTCTGTATCTATTGATAAGTTCATATGATTTTTATCCTTTGTGTTTTTTTAATATGGTGTATTACATTGCTTGATTTGCATATATTGAACCACCCTTGTGCCACTGGAATGAACCCCACTTGATCCTGATGTATTATTTAAAAATATATATATTGTTGTATTAGATTTACAAATATTTTGTTTAGGGTTTTTGCATCTGTATTCATCAGAAATATTGGTTGATGGTTTTCTTTTTTTGTGTTATCTTTGCCAGGTTTTGTTATCAGGGTTATATTGCCCTCATAAAATGTGTTGGGAGGTATTGCTTCTTCTTCAATTTTTTGGAAGAGTTTGAGAAGGATAGGTATCAAATCTTCCTTGAATGTTTGATAGAATTCACTAGTGAAACCATCTGGTCTTGGCTTTTGGTAGTTTTTTGATGGTTGTTTTAATTTCTTCAATGTCTATTGGTCTAGTCAGATTTTCAAATTATTTATTATTCTGTCTAGGAAGGTTATATATTTCTAAGTACTTATTCATTCCTTCTAGGTTATTGAATTTTGTGGCATATAGTCTTTGATAGTATTGTAGTATGATCCTTCATATATCTGTGATTAGGTGGGTGTTCTTGAGTGCTGACAACACGGTTCTGACAGTATTTCATGACAATGGATGGTGACAGTTCTGCAACAGATGCATCTCAATTAGGAATTTCTGCAGACTGTATTGCAGAAAGTCATTATGCCATACAGCCTCATGATGATACTGAAGACAGCATGCAGCATGAATGATCACGAAGACACAAACTGTTCAAAAGAAAGTTTCTGAGAGCAAGATATATATCTTGCAAATGTGGCAAGGATAATGAAAAATGCTATACCTTAAACACGCAAGATTGCGAAAGATGCCAAAGAATGTGTTCATGAATGGACACCTGAGTTTATCAGCTTTATAACATCTGAAGCAAGTAAAGGATGCCCCCAAGAGAAATGGAAGACAATCAGTGTAAAAGATATTCTCTTTGCCATGTCTACCTTAGGTTTTGACAGTTATACAGAACCTCTAAAATTATACCTTTAGAAATTTACAGAGGAAATGAAAAGGAGAGAAAGAAATTGGTAGAACAGTCACAGCTACAGATGGAGTAAGTGAAGAGCCAACAGAGGAGGCATTTACTAACTAGTTACCAGCTCACTTCATAGCTGCAGATGGTCAACAACAAAATGTTATGGGTTATACAAATCATATCAACAGATTTCTGGTGTTCAGCTAATTCAGTTTTCATGATCTGAAGAAACGATGAGTAGGGAATATAGAGAAGCAAGAAACTCTATATGATTCTGAAGCAGAGACACAAAGAAATGACGGTTGAAAGGATGTTTCTTTGTACATTAAATAGCTATAATGTAGCTTCCTGATGCTGGACTATTTGAGGTGTTAATTCTGACTTGAGAATCTCTTTCATGAATAATTTAAAAGAAAAATTTGGATTTTAATGGTATTAAAATATTTTTGTTCTGTATGACAGTTTGTTGCTCTGTGCGACTGACTCCTGTGTGCATTGTATGTTGCAATTTATCGCTGTCAGAGATTTGCAAATAGTTTCTTATTTTCATATTGAATCATGTTACTTTTATTTTTATTTATTTATTTTTTTATCCTCACCCGAGGATATTTTTCCATTTTTTGTACAGATAGAGTGGGAGGGAGAGAGAGGAAGAGAGAGAGAGAGAGAGAGAAACATCGATGTGAAGGGACACATCGAGTGGCTGCCACCCACACGACCAACCAGGGCCGGGGACAAACTGCAACTGAAGTACGTGCCCTTAGCGGGAACCGAACCCGGGTCTCCGGACCGCAGGCCGACGCTCTAACCGCTGAGCCAAACCAGCCAGGGCGAATCATGTTACTTTTATAATTCAAGTAAACATCTGGGTCAAGTCATGATGTTTGGCCTTTTTATAAAGTTTAAGAGTAAAGTTCAAAAAAATAATCATATCCTATTATTCCCCATTACATCTCTTACATTTATTTGCTTTTTTCTGAACGGCTTTATTGAGATCTAATTTACATACAATTCATCCATTTCAAATGTACAATTCATTGGCTTTTGGTGTATTCACTGAGTTGTGCAACTATCACCCCATCAATTTTAGAGCATATTCATCACACCAAAAAGGAACCTTGTACTCTTTAATTATCACTACCCAATCTCATCATCTCCTCCAGCTTCAGGCAACAACTAATCTACTCTCTATTTCTATAGATTTCTCTATTTTGTATAAGTGGAATCATATAATACGTGGCCTTTTGTGACTGGCTTCTTTTATTTAGCATAATGTTTTCAAAAATCATCCATGTTATAGTGTGTATCAGTATTTTCACATCTATTCTTTATTTTCCATGATCAATCTCCCGTGAACGTTAGGTTCTTATTGTATATTTCTTATATCTAGTCCTATACATTTATCTCCAGTCTCATCTGACTTTCTCTCCTGTAGACCAAACATTCAACATACACTCTAAGTCTTTTGGAATAATTCCTCAGAGGCTTTGATTCACTAATTATCCTTGCTCTCTTTTGTTCAGTCTTTTCTGTTACACAGATCCTTTTTCTAAGCTGATTAAACATGCTTGGTTTTCTCCCAAGTTAAAAACTAGATGCTATGAATTCCACAGACTGTTAGCTCTTGCTTTCTACTCATATCCAAGATTTTTAAGAGTCTATACTCATTTCTCTTCTATGTTACCTCACATCTACTCCTAAACTTACTTGCATTTTCTGTTCAGAAAATGCTCTGATAAAAAGCACTAAAGATCTCCCAGATGCTAAATATTATATAAAATTTAATTCTTTGTTAGTAGTTAGCTTCTTTATGATATTTCATATGGTCTCTGCCCTTCTCATCAGTCAGTAAGTTCTTTTTCTAACTTTAAGTCAACTTCTTAGTTTTCTTCAATAGATTCTTTTCTCTCTACCCCCACAAAGGAAGACCTTTCTGTGGGTTCCATCATTTGCCCTGTTCCTTGAGCAATCTCATCTATATGCATAGCTAATCAACAATTGCCTAATTCTTGACTCTCACATGTGTGTTTTTAGCCCAGGTTTCCTTCTTTGGCTATACCATCATAAAAAAAAAAAAAAAAAAAAACCAAACCTTTTCAGTTGGACAGCTTCAATTGGATGCATCAAGGGCACTTCAACTTGCACTTTCCTTAAGTAGAATTCCTTTCCTCTAGCCCTTCATAAACTCCAAACCTATATTTTATATCTTCATAAATTAAAGCTATCCTGCAAATCACTCTTTATTTCCCATATTCAAAACCTGTCACTATGTTTTGTTACCTTAAAAATCTTTCTTAAATCTGGACCTTTCTCTTTTTCCTCACTGCTTTAGTTGAGAACATAATAATCTCTTATCTATATTATTGCAAGTCCTTGTGACAAGACTTCTGGTTACTCATTTAACCCCCCTCCAATTTATCCCCTATATTGTTATCAGAGCAACCTTTCTAAAATGAAAAACATGCCACTCTCCTACTTAAATTCCCCCAGTGCCTTCTCTTTGGCTCATGGGAAGCTAAACTCATAGGTGCCAACCTCTACCTGCTGGTTTCCTTAGCTTCATATCTTACTCTTGTCCAGCCTTCACCCCTGCATATGGGCCTCATTGAGTTCCTCAAAATTGTTATGCTCTTTAAGTCTTCTATTCTCTTTTACACGCAATTTCTACCTCCCCATAATGCACTTCTTTTCCCCCTCTCTTCTTCCATTCCATCTGATCAATTCCTATTGAGGTTTTAAGACGCAGTTTGATGTAGTTCTGGGATAATTTTCTCTCATCCTGCAGTTTGGTTAGCTGTTCTACTCTGTACTCACCAAATACCTCTTGCCTGCCTCTGCGTGAGTACTTCTATGATCCTGTAATGGACATCCCACTTCTCTGACTCCCTGTAATGTCTAAGCTAATTGAGAGTAGGAACTACATCTTTCATTTCTATATCCTCGGGTTCTGGCCCAGTGCCTGACATACAAATGACTGCAGGATTAGGTTCAGAACATCACAGATTTTATTTCTATGTATCTCACTCTATGCTCCAAATATGAGTCGTTCGCTTGTCTTCAAATCTTTGATTAAATTGTTTCTTTTTCTTGAAGATTTCTTTCTTCTCTTAACCCAATTAATCCTGTTATCAATAAGGCCCAGTTGAAATCCTACTTTACCCTGACCTCCCTATTAGAGTTGATTAAGCTTTCTTTTTCCTTTCAGGGGTGGGGACCCTTTTTTCTGCCAAGGACCATTTGGATATTTATAACATCATTCATGGGCCATACAAAATTGTCAACTTAAAAATTAGCCTGCTATATTTGGTCAGACTCATTTGATGAGGGTGTGACGTTAGCTGGTATTGATTTCGAGGGCCTTATATGGTCTGCAGGCCAGACATTCCCCACTCCTGCCGGATGATTTATAATTTGTAATACTCACATAGCACTATTTGTTCTCTTATAAGTTATCTTTTCATTTGCATGTACCTGCCTTCTCCAATTGAATTGTGTGCTTTTGAGGGCTGTGATATGTCATCTTTTTCCCTTACAGTGCCTTGGAGATTGTCTGACATTCTTTTAGTTTAATATTTGAGTGGGGTATTTAATGGATGACCTGACTGCTTGGAGCCAAGAATCAGACTTGTACTTAAGAGTTCATATTCTCTTTTGGCTGTCATTTTCATAGGGGAAAAGACTTCAGAATAATTGTCCTAATTAGTCCCATTTTATCTTTTTAACAATTCCTGGGAGCATGTCACAGATGAATATATGAAAGAAAGACAAAAAAAAATGCCCTAGCAAAGGAGGTTACAGCAACTCAGTGACAAAATCACCTCACTGTGTGGAAAGTATCATTAGATAGTGCCCAAAATATTAATAATACCCCAAAGGATTAATATTAAATAAGAAATTAGGAAATACATTTCCTTTTTTAATTATAAAATTGGGAAGTATTAGAAATGCTTACTGTGTACTTGTTCAATCAGAAAATAATTATTAAAAATTCAACTGTGTGTAAAACACAGACATAATTCCCAAACTCTGTCGTGAAAGAGTGATGCATCAACAACATTCAAATTCTAATCTAGAAGGTGTTTTGATTATGACAATCTGAACTTTAAGGAATATTTTTAAAGGGCTCTTTAAAACTAGCGACTCTAATTTGTTTATTAGAAGTATTCCTGAAATGGCTCTTTAACCTTGCCTGTGTTGCCTCTGTTTAAAGGTGTGAGAACATTTCCAGTGTCACGCTTACTGATCATACTCTATGTGAAATCTTCACTTTTCTTGGTTATCCTGGTCGTCGTGGGAATCATCTGCTTCCAGAGCAGGTAGGAACTGAAGACTGAAAAATATAAGAAGACATCATTGTAAAACTTAGTTTACAATGTCCTAGGAAAAGCTTGATACATTTTTTTTGGCACATTTTGTTTGTTCCCTCGCCTCTTTTCTGACTTAAAAGCTTTTTTAACAACTGAGAGCCAGGCAGAGGTGGGCAGTGCTGGAACAAGAGCTTCTGCTTTATTGTAGTTTTTCCCCAGGAGAGACCTATCCTAGACCACCCTTTGAGAATTCCATGGGGGGCTTCTTAAGTGTTTACTTCCCAGTTCCTCTACTTCTGAAGGTTTGTATTTATTCCTGCATAATTGAATATTTTATGTTCTTTTTTTCTTTTTTTTCCTAGAGCACAAAAATAAAAAATCTGGAAGTCAATTTAGATTTGATGAGATATTACAAAAAAGCAGCTGGTTGAAATCAGCCTTCAAGTTCAACATCTAGCTCAACTACTCCTGTTACTCTTTGATATCTTTGTGTTTATAAGAACCAACGTGATAGTTTCCAATGCCTGTTTCAAACTCTTTATATTTAGATATATATTTATATATATGCAAAAGCTTGCTGACTGCCATCATAAATGTCTAGGATGACTCATCTACTTTCCTCTTTGCTCTAGTGAGTTTTATTTGAAAATGAGAAGCTACCCTGCTTCTTATCCGGAAGAGGATGACTCAGCAAAAGCCAAATAACAATGCTATGCAGTTTTTTTCTGCACCCCTTGGGTTCCTTAGATGGTGATTTTATTCTAGCATAGCAATTTTCAACCCACATGGATTTTTAAAACATGTAATACCTGGCTATTTCATCAGGGGCACTGACCTCTTTTCTCTGACTATCAAATTAAAAATTGACAACACAATAGCTGTCCTGTGTGAATGAATCAAAATGATACTATTTTTTTTTCCAGATTGGCAAACAATATATTTTTTGATGTGCCACAGAATTTTAGTAATTAGTTTGTGTTTTCCATGAGATGAGAAAGGATGAAAATCACTGTTCTAATTTCTTGTTTCTTCTGCCCACTTGCGATGCTAATCAATGTTGCAATGGCAGGAGCCACTGAGGACACTGCCTTCAGGTCAGCATATAGCTGACCCCCTCCTCCCTTATTTGCTGGCAATTAGTGGGGCGGTTGTATTGCATATTTAGTCTGATCATTGAATAAATGGCCAGAGTTATTTCTAGCAGTATGTGTATTTTTGAGGAAATCATAAGTTGATCCCAAATAAGGAGCTCTTAGAGTCATTGGAGTCAGAACTGAGCATCACCCTACTGCTTAGAGCTCCAGTGTCTGTCTCTTTCTCAGTTCCCCCTTATCTGCACTCCAGGTTGGAATGGATTAATGGTGGTAAGAGTAATAGTGCTTAATGAAGAGTGCCTAACATCTTCTACGGCTACTCTAAACAGAAACCCTCTCCTCACTGACACATATGGCAATCCTAGAGTAAAAATTATTCTTTTATTTTTTTTAATTTTTCTTTTTAAAAACATTTTTTCTTTTTCTTTTTTTTTTTTTATCCTCACTTGAGGACATTTTTCGATATTTTGTTCAGATAGAGTGAGAGGGAGAGAGAGAGAGAGAAGCATCGACGTGAAAGCAACACATCGAGTGGCTGCCACCCACACGACCCAACCAGGGCCGGGGACAAACTGCAACCAAGGTACGTGCCCTTAGCGGGAACTGAACCCGGGTCTCTCCGGACCGCAGGCCGACGCTCTAACCGCTGAGCCAAACCGGTCAGGGCAAACATTTTTTTCTTTATTGATTTGAGAGAGAGAGGAAGGGAGAGAGAGATAGAAATATCGATGAGAGAAAGCACTGATTGGCCGCCTCCTGCATGCCCCCCACTGGGGATTGGGCCCACAACCTGGGCATGTGGTCTGACTGGGAATAGAACCTGCGACCTCCTGGTGCATGGGTTGACGCTCAACCACTGAACTACACCAGCTAGGTAAAATTGTTCTTTTATTTAAAGGAAAAACTTCTTATGTAAATTAGCAGGTGATTTAGAATATCACTTTTATTTTTAGCAAAACTTTAAGGGAGGAAATAAATGCATACTATTTGGAGGATACTATATAAATAGGATAGTGTAATTATTGAACAAACAGCTACAAAATCTCAGTGTATTTATACCACAAAATGTTAATTCTTGCTCATTTCATATCCCAGTGCAGGTTGCTGAGGCTACGGCAAGGGTGCAGGAGTGGTTCTCTGAGCTAGCATTTTATCCTGTGGCTCTGCCCTACTCAGAGTATTTCCCATTTAGATGATGATGATGATGATGATGATGATGATGATGATGATGTGTGAGAGAGAGAGAGAGAGAGAGAGAGAGAGAGAGAGAGAGAGGGAGGGAGGGAGAGTGAGAGGGAGGGAGGGAGAGAGGGAGAGAGAGAGATTGTTTTCATGAACAAGGTATGGAGTAGCAATCACTTCTGCTCACATTCCATTGGCGGGTACTTGTCATATGGTCACACTAATGTCTATGGAAGCTGGAAAATGTGGTGTAGCTGTCTTGGAAAAAAATAGGGTCAGGTGTTTTGGGTACATTTAGCCAGCTTTTGCCTATAGTAAAGAATAGGCAAATGCTAAGATTAACACCCACTCCATTAGTCATTGAACACAAGCCAAGAAATAATTAAATTAGTAAATAATGTTGTATATAACTTGCACTAGCTATTTTTTCTCTTTTCCTTTTATTATAATTTTCTCATGTTTAAAACAGAGCATAGGATGGAAAAATGTCTAGTAATACAATGTTGTAACAGACTCAAAAATGCTGTAACACGGATTGCTAGTTGCCCGGTTCAGTGCTCATCTTCTCCTTTTTCCTTGTGGTAGATGGTTATATTCATGACTCCAAGTATTCACTTCTCCCCCTCTCCATGTAACTTATCAATGACTTAGAGTTTTTTCCATGAAAAGAGTGCATATTTCTCTAGTCCATGCAATGTATTTTTGCCAATCAGATAAGGTACAAAGGGTAGTATACCAGTCTTGATCCAAACTCTCAGAGATCCTGCAAATTTCTACATGCTACTCCACGAGAACATGAATGGGCTAGTCTTCTGGAGGATGAGGAACATGTAGAGCAGAGTTAAGTTCCCTGGTCCTTCCCCCACCCCAACACCTCACTGTTGAGGCCAGCTTAGAAAATCCAGTAGCTACCCCTGGACATGTGAGGAAGTTCAGTAAGAGCGGAAGAGCTGCCTATCTGACATTTGAGTGCTGTGGGCTCTGACTTTCTTTGGGTGCCCAGATTTTGAGCAATTGTTGCCACAAAGATTTAATGGTTGTTGTTACACCACACACCACATTATTGTGACATTACATCTCTGAAACATTGCTTAATAACATAACTTCAATTTTATTTCGTGTGGGGACATACTTAGCTAAAAGATATTTCTCAGTTTCACTTTCAGCTAAACAGAACTACCCAAAAAAGTTTTCACAAATGCAATGTGAGCATAAATCTTGTTTGGTATTTTTTAAAAAGCTCTTTAAAGAGAAAGGAAAGGTCCTCTTTTGCTTTTCTTCCTTATCTCCTGGACTTCAATATTGGTGTGATGACTGGAGGTCCAGCAGCCAACTTGGGCCAAAGGGGACGTTGAAGATGGAAACCACTCACTAACATTGTGGAAAAGAAAGATGGAAGTATCCTGGGCCCAGATGACCATGGAGTTGACTGTACAAACCTTAGATCACCTACATATAAACTTGTTTATTGTAAAGCAAATAAACTTTTTTGTTCATGCCACTGTTATTTTAGGGTTTAGTCCACACACAGCAGAACTTAATCTTGATTGATACAAATAACTAGTTTGCCAATCTCAAGGTTTGTTGTCAACATTGCAGTAGCAGATTACGCTCTATTCATGCGCATTTTCATTCTTTCTGTAGAGATAATGAAACACATAACTGCAGAAAATAGTAATCATGAGTATGAGAGCCATTTCTGTGACGGTTTCAGGAGAATTGCTTGTTATGTCAACTCGAGGGATGCTGTGGGCTTGTGATAGAAAAGGGCTTGAGAATCTTGGGGGTGTGCAAAGATCATCTATTAATCAGCCAATCCCTAGATATGGAGGACACGTCTGCATTGTAGGATAGGGAAGATAAAGATACTGTTGTGGGCTCTAGAGAGGATGTGAGGATGTGAGTGGGAGAAACAGAGGAACTGAAATCTATGGACCTTATTGTGTTACTACTTTTTACAGTGAAAGGACTCCATCACTCCTGAAAATGATTGATCTGAATTCATGCTCCTTCTCTGTTGTATTCTCACTGTCATGATTTTCTGGGTGATGTTAGATTGGAAGAGTGAAAAGCTAAAGCTACTCTACCTCATCTTTCTATCCCTGCACAAAGTTAAAATGCATATTTTCTTTTCTGAATGCATATATGCAGAATAAATTCATTGTGATCCTGAACTGAGAAAAATTGGGAAAAACTTTAAACAAAACACAATTGAGAGCCACTAGATGGTGCTTCAACTTAATTCTTTTAACATTTTGAAGCAAGCTAAAATCTATTAACCTCAGAAAGTAATTCTTAACTTTTTTCTTTAATTTTTCTATCCCTTCATTTACTAAATTTTTAGGTCTTCTTGAGTAGCACTGAAAAAAATAACATAAGAAAGGGAAAATGTTTTAAATTAAAATTGAAGAGAAAAAAAAATATTTTTTTCAGTTTCCAAACTTGATTTGTACTATTCCTGTCACTTAATTTTAGTAGAAACATTTTGTTTATCAAATGAGATAGGGGTAGATATTAATAGTCTCATTTCAGGGAATGGAGAAATGTGAGGATCTCTTAGTGATTAAACCAAGGTTAGCATTCACATATTTCTTAAATTGAAGAGTTGAGATCACCAGCCACTAAAAGGCAAATAGTTGCTTGTTATATTAATGGCAGCAGATAGTTGAAACTACCAATATAATTAGCTGACATTCTCTACTTCCTGGGTTCAACCCCACATGTCCTCCCCCA